AGGAAAAGGTGTGCAACAGCTGAAATTTTACATATGAGAAGATCAGGACTCTTAACGTGCTTCACTATAAAGAGAGTAAAATAGTATAATATTTGCTATGCTGCACAACAAAGAAGATTAGGTATTTATGCTTACTGGAAAATGGCTTCGAAGTAGTTTGCTTATTACAATGTGAAAAGTACTAGAATGTGCTGACAAAAATAGTCTCACTGTAATAGAAAAACTTGTTTTGACGCTACATCCAATCTTAATACTATATGTTAAGGGTTAGAATTCGATTGTTAAGCCAGAGACAATGATGCTGAAAAGAGATTACATCATGCGAAGATAATACTGATAGATAGAATGGCCAATATCCAAAAGTGCCTGCCTTGACTATGTATTGTAATCACATATTTAAAGGGCTTAACTACTGTCAATATGTAGAAACTTTATTGAATTTAACAGTAAGTAAACGGGATGTGGCTTAGACTGAGAAGCTTACATTATGTGTATGTGCGTTTTTTTGTTAACACTATTTATTGAACTGTCTTACTAATGAAGGGTTAGAATATAACCTTATAAAACATATTAAGATACCAGGATATGACAGCCAGTCATTAAGATGTTATAACATCACTACACGTTTAAAATATCATTTATGTGGATATGCATTTTCTTAAGTTCATCTCAAATGAAAATATACGTTTTTAATATCCTAGAAAGGGGAACTTGTTGTGGGTGTATATTGATTTTCCATCAGGAAATATTGGTTAGATACCCGAGGTGGTTACAGCGCATATAGCTTCGCGCTTAAACAGGAACAAAGGAATCGAATAGGAAATTCTAGATGATGCACCTAAAAATATATTTTAAAATTTAGGATTTTGCTTTCTCCTCTTGATCACCTGTTGCTAAAGCTGATACTTCTAAAGACTCTTATGAACTTAATTAAATATATATAAATATATAAATAAATATCAAATGAAAAAATTATTTGTGAAATGGAGTGAAAAGCCTTTTATGCTAATATCCATTACAAAATGACAAAGCCTGCATTCTAAAATTAATAGAAAATCAAGAACAATTAGTTACAGGGCAGATAATACTCACCACTCTTCTCTTTTATTGACATGAAGGAATCAATTATTCTCTCAAGATTAATACAAGTCTTATTCCTGTCAAGGTTTGATTTTGAGTTCTGAAAATATAGCTTTTCCTTTGAATTTTTGGACGTTTGATGTGCATTAACAATGTAATCCGCAATTGAATGTATTGTAGAATATTTCATGTGCTCAGAATGTAAAGCTCTTATAAACAGTGTAGTGTATTTGACAATTTATTTTATTCTGTTGCTGAACGCAAAGTTACACGCTGAGCCATGTGCACTGCCCCACCATAGGACTCGAAATCAGATTTTTAGCGTTACAAGGTCTAAATCTTATTCCTGGGGTACTGTGAGGATGGGAGATTTTGACAGACAGGTAAATGTTTTTAATACAAATGTCACGGAAGCAAGAAATTACGTCCGTTTTGTTGTTTTTTAACGTTATTTATAGATTCTTCACTCTGAATCACCTTAAACGTTCCAAATACATAAATTGAAACTATATAATAATAATAAAACGTAAAATTAAAATAGTTTTTTATGTGTAATTTACCCATTGAACTTCGCATTTAGAGTGTGAGTTTATATCACGAAGCTCTATCACTATGAGGTTTTGATACCCGTGGTGAGTGCAGCACAGATAGCTCATTTGTAGCTTTACGCTTAGCAACAACAACAACAAACGAGAAAATATATTATCAACGCCAGTATAAGAAGAAACAACGACGTTATCCTTTTTTTTCTTCTCTACAGTGAAATGATTCTTTGATATAGACGACTTTGCTTACTTTTCAGTTGACAATTTACTCACCAGTCCTGCTATAACAATGTACATTTTGACATTATGTTTGTACATCTTGTTGTGTAAAAACACCATGGAAAAAAAGTGTACGTACCGAATTATTTACTTTGTTACGTTTCACTATAATTCATCGTGATAGTTCAATTATAAATTTCAGCTTTACCTAATTTTTGTTTTTAGTGTAGCAGTTAACACTGAACAGAGGCTGATATTTACTCATTATGCTATTTTTACGTAGAACCAGTTATTGTGAGTGTCATAGTTGTTTGCTTGTCTGTAAAGGAGTTAATGAGATAACTTCAACTCGTCTTGAAATAGCGAACTTCAATTTTGCTTTACCATATTAGTAGCCCGCCTTTGGCCCAGCGGTAAGTCTGAAAGCTTGTAAGTATAAAAACCAAAAATGAAGATATTTGAAATAATAAAATATAAACAAAATACACAGCGAAAATTGAACAAGAAACATTGTTGTACAAAATATTAACTAGAGAGAGAGAGATTGTTTGTTTGTTTGTAGCACAAAGCTACACAATGGGCGATGGACACAACAGATAATCCAATGTGGCTTTGCTCTAAAACAAAACAAAAACTGATAACTTCAAGAAAATGTTTCATATACCACGTTTTTATACTGGTACAATGGCAATGTTTTGTTTTTTTTTGTTTTTATGAGATGAGTGTTACATAACGCACCTTCATAGCTGAAAAACAGACCTTAAGGCTATGAAACAGTCTGTCTTTAGGAATTGTGTGGGGTATACCACATTTGTTATGCTGATAAAGCATCAAACGTCGATTTTTTTAGGAGACGTGTGTTATTGTTGTTGTTTGCTATTAAGCCCAAAGCTACACAAAGGGATATCTGTGCTCTGCCCACCACGGGTATCGAAACCCGAATTCTAGCGTTGTAAGTCCGCAGACATACCGCTTTACCACTGGGGGCTAGAAAGAGAAAGAGAAAAAAGAGAATCCGAATCTGGATCTTGTATGTGTGTGTTTTACCTTTCTAATGGAAATCATTTTTGGGCAGATTTATTTGCTTTATATCTTAACTAGACAAACACAACATAGAACTTGTCAGTAAGCAACAGAGCTGGTATCATCAATAGAAGTGTCATCATGTACCTTCAGAGCCTTTTGAGGATATATTTGCCTCTGGAGAAATCACTTCTTTCTATATCATCATCATCATCATCATCATTATCATCATTCTTTGTGTCTATCCTTGAAGCATTTCAAATTTTACATTGAAGAAAAATTAGCTTACAGTATAATATTAGTTTCGATTTGCTCTCTTTTAAGGGGTAGATTTGAAAGAAAAGTAGTTGAACAAATACACTAATCTCAATTTATCTGTTTGTGCACCAAAGTTCAGAAAAAAAGCTTGAAAAGCTATGTACACAACATCCTATAAAAACTTATGCAAACATGTTGTGTTCGTGGTCACTTCACTTTGTCTCTTAACCCTCGGGGTCATTGGGACACCACTGACGACTTTTCAACCAGCTCTCTCCATCTTTCCCAGTTTTCCACTGCCCTCTGGGAGTTGACGAACACCAAGCTTCTCCACTCTTTGATCTTGTCTTCGTACCTCTTCTTCTTTTTCCTCTCACGGTACGTTGCAAAATGGTCTTTTCTAAGCCAGGTGACCCTGAGTCGTGACCATACCACTTCAGTTTGCGTGTTCTGACAGTGGTCCGTATTCGTATGATCCGATATCTTGTTGGATCTTGTTGCGGACCCCTTCGTTGGTAACACGGTCTTTATATGAGATGCGCAAGATCTTTCTGTAGCAACTCATTTCAATGGCACGTATTCTTCTTTCTAGATCTACTGTGAGGGTCCATGTTTCACAAGCATACAGAAATATGGATATGACAAGAGAACGCAAAAACCTCAGTTGAACCTAGGTATTTGAAACTGTTCGTGTTTAGATATATATGTATTGAACATTTCAACTTTGTAATTAGCATTGCTGTGTTACTACCACTACCACAAACTGCAGCAGATGGTAAATGGTAGATGAAGATGGAACATGGTGTGTTTAAGCAACCAGGCCTTACCCCTTTTAATTGTTGTCTTTACTTGCTTGCATAGTAGCCTTTGATCTGCGACTGGGAAGTCAACTTGTATAAACATGATATACACAGCGCCTTTCTGGATACAGTTTCTACAGTTATCTTGTTACAAGTTTATACTTTCTGCGGCTTTTCTGTAGTGGTAGCTTTTTAAATCTGTTTTGGCTTATAGCATGAATTGAACGCATTTACTGTAGGTGAAACATTTAATTCTTATATATAGACTTTTATTAAGCCTGTTTACGGTGTATGATTTCATAGTCAAGATGCAGTTTCATTCTGATCAGAATGTGTAAAAAGTATTAAATTTCTGATAACTATCTGTGTATTCTTTAACCAAACATCTTCATTCGATGACATCATCAGTGGAATAACGTTTTCTGATATGAAGTTTTATGTTACGCTAAACCTTTAGGATTGATTTGTTATTGTAGAAACGTAAATTTAAGTGAGTTATAAGGCAAACTGTTTTAAAGTTTTTACGACAAAGTATTATTATTCAATTTTATATTTTTTAATGTACACCAAAGTGAATGATATGGAAATGCAAAAATACAACCAAACAGAAAACGTTTTTGTTATAAGAGAAAAAACTTTCATCTTCAGTTACCAACAACACATAAACATGTATCACAAGGCCTAAAAATAAAGAAGAGCGAAAAATAGAAGTTGAAGGTCCCCATAGATGCAAATGTTGTAGAGACAGTGTCTTTTTGTAAATCGTATATTCCTTATCATTCTATGAGTTGAATCTATATTACAGCCTAATATATATCAATTTCCATTTAAAAACATTACGTATTGCTTCATATAATATATTACATGAGTAGTTTAGAAAACACAGAGACAGTTAAAGATTTATTCTTTCCTTCCGACCCAGTCTTACCACATGAACTCCATATATCTTCACTTCCCTTTGTTAACTCACACACTAACGCGCAACATCTTGCGCGGCGCGTGCTCACAACAGAACTGCGTACTTTAAAACCCTTTAAAAAGGCCACGCTGATTTACGCTGGTATCTGTTTCGGTCTTTGAGTGTTTCCGAACGACTCGTGACCAACACTGATCTCGTGGTCCAGTTTTCGGTGGTCGTAGTCTCCATGTGAGTACTGAAAACATCTCTATCAACGAACCTTGGCTTAGTTTTAGTTAAGCTAGTAGATAGTTTTCAATTTCAATCCTAACAATTACTTTTTTGTCTGTAATATTTATTAATATTATTGTTAATTAAAACTCTCTGTGTAGTAGTACTATAAACAATATGATATACAAATAATTTCTGTTCCACAAAGTGTAATAGATATTTGAACATTTGAAAAACATTATCGAATGTAATGTATTTTTTTCTATTACATAATGAAGCATCAAAGTTTATAAATTAAATTCAGACGTTTTGGTTTCTTATAGACTGGACATTATTTTCGCATAATACGGTAAAATTTGTTACATGAGTGTGTAGGATGTGGACGTTCAATATATATTAAGCTCATTTTTCCCTAAAATGTATTTGTTAAACCTTACTTTGTAATTAAACATATATGTTAAAACTGAGTTATAAAAAAAGTTTGCAGTTTCACAAGTTACTTTTAATATCGACACTGTATTGAAATAACTGAAGCAACAATTCTACTGTCAAGACTTAGGAAGTGATTTCATTTCTCTTTTCTCTCTCTTTCTTTCGTATTAAAGCTCAAACCACAATGTAATTTTTTATTAGAAAGAACACAATTTTTAATAGAAAAGTTTAGCATTTTGCTTTGGTCTTTGGAAATCATTAATATACAGCAAGTTTTGCATTTTAAGCTTAACTTACGTTACGATATATTAGTAATAGTAATCCAGTTAAAGGTATTATATAGGTTTCAAAACTTTATTATTACTGTTTTCGCTAGAAGTTCCTACTTAATAAACATACCGGTCACTATTACTGTTTTCGCTAGAAGTTCCTACTTAATAAACATACCGGTCACTATTACTGTTTTCGCTAGAAGTTCCTACTTAATAAACATACCGGTCACTATTACTGTTTTCGCTAGAAGTTCCTACTTAATAAACATACCGGTCACTATTACTGTTTTCGCTAGAAGTTCCCACTTAATAAACATACCGGTCACTACTTATTTAAGAGCTTTTAATAACAATCATTGCATGAATCGTTTGAAGAATAATATTTCAGTTAAATGCTGTGTGTACAAAGACAGAGAATTTAGTCGACATTTTGAACCCCGCGTTTATATTCAAACTCGCAGACTTTAACCAGAGTAAATCACGTATTTGTAATTGAAAGGAAGGCGTTCACTGAGAAAAAACTTTAAGTAATCAGTTATGTAATCGATATGTGTGGGTGTATAAATATGTGTGTATGTGTGTGGTAACATAATTTCCTATCAAATGAACCCTCGAGTGGCACAGCAGTAT